CCCTAAACCCTAAACCCTTTAATTTAAGCAATCTAGGAACCTGGCTCTGAATCAGAAAGCCCTCTGGCTCCTATGAGGCCTCCAGATATTTTGGGGGTTTCCAAAAATAGGGGACCCTACTATAGCACCCCAAATAGTAGGACCCTTATTATATAAGGACCCCCAAATAAGGTACCCCTAATTTTTTGAAACTTCCATATGGATGCTATTGATCGCTTTCAGGCGGGGGGGGGTTAGAACTAAGACCGCCTTGACCGGTACAGGGCCCTCAAGAAGGAATGCGAGCACCCCTTGCAGATATAATGACATAACTTACTGGAATTTCCCCCCCTACCCCGCCCTCCAAACAAGCACTCCAAGAACCAAGGCTCCTCCTAAACCCTAAACCCTAAACCCTAAACCCTAAACCCTAAACCCTAAACCCTAAACCAAGGCTCCTATACTTTGGAGCTCAAGGTTGAGATCCCTTCAACGGCGAAGCGATGAAACTTCGGGCAACCTCGTTCCGCTCATCGATGTACTTCTCAATCTCCTGGGAAGCTTGTCAACCAAGTTTAGGGTGTAGGGTTGTGGGTTTAGGGTTTCGGGTTTAGGGATCCGGGTTTAGGGTTTAGGGGTTCGGGTTTAGGGTTTAGGGTTTCGGGTTTAGGGTACGGATTAGATTTAGTACTCCGTTGTGGAAGTGGGCTGAAAGACCGTGCCCACTTTACTTTTGGGACCTACTTCCTGCCTGGCCTTTGGAGCCACCTGTTTACATTGAGCAGCAACATACCCTGATGGACTTGATTATTCTTGTGGAGGTATCTCGACTACCCTGCCTTCGCAAGGAGGGTATTGTCAGTTGTGTTGTTGTGATTACCTAAAGCAGCCTGGCCGTCTTGCAAAACCTAAACCCAAACCCCTAAACCCTAAATCCTAAACCACTACACCCGAAACCCTAAACGCCTAAACCCTAAACTCTGAATTCCGGAGCCGAAACCTCAAACCCTGAATTCCTGCAGGCCACACCGTCCTTCACCTAAGATACCAGCTGCTGCCCTGAATCCCAAACCCGGGGACTCGGAGCCAGGAATTCGGGAAGCTAGAGGTTTAGGGTTTAGGGTTCAGGGTTCAGGGTTCAGGGTTTCGGGTTCAGGGTTCAGGGTTCAGGGTTTAGGGTTTAGGGTTCAGGGTTTAGGGTTTAGGGATTCGGGAAGGAAGAAGTTTCCTATATCAGAGTTCCTATAGAGAAAGGCTCTTATAACGGCCCCCCCCCCCCCACTGAAACCAGAACCCCAAACTGATAATTCAGAGCCCTGAGAACCCAAAGGGACCGAAGGCCCTGAAGCATATGAAGCCCCCCAAACCCAAACCCCTCAACGCTAAACTCTAAACCCTAAACCTCGACCCTAAACCCCAGACCCTAAACCCCAGACCCTGAACCCAAGCCGTAAAACGCCCAAACACACCCTAAACCCTAAAGCCCCCAAACACACCCGAAACCCCAAAGCCCCCAAACACACCCTAAACCCCAAAGCCCCTAAACACACCCTAAACCCTACCTGAAGCCCCCAAACACACCCTAAGCCCTGAAGCACCCAAACACACCCTAAACACAAAAAAACCCAAACACACCCGAAACCCCAAAGCCCCCAAACACACCCTAAACCCTAAAGCCACCAAACACACCCTAAACACAAAAAAAACACAAACACACCCTAAACCCTAAAGCCCCCAAACACACCCGAAACCCCAAAGCCCCCAAACACACCCTAAACCCTAAAGCCCCCAAACACACCCTAAACACAAAAAAAACCCAAACACACCCTAAACCCTAAACTCCAAACACACCCGAAACCCTAAACCCCCAAACACACCCTAAACACAAAAAACAAAAAAACAAACACACCCTAAACCCTAAACCCCCAAACACACCCTAAACCCTGAAGCCCCAAACACACCCTAAACCCTGAAGCCCCAAACACACCCGAAACCCTAAACCCTAAACCCTAAACCCCAATCCCGAAGTTCAGGGGCCCGACATGAACCGGAGGAGCGTTAGGCCCGGGCCTCAGGTGCGAAGAAACGAATTCCTAGTTTAGGGGTTTAGGGTTTCAGGGTTTTGGGGTTTAGGGGGTTTGAGGGTTTGGGGGTTTAGGTTTAGGGTTTAGGGGTTTCAGGGTTTCCGGGCTTGGGGGTTTAGGGTTTCAAGGCGTAGAGCTCTACAGGTTTGGGGGGTTTGCAGAATTTGGAGCTTCGGGTTGCGAACAAGTCTGGACAACATCTCGTCTCTGTGGGTTTAGGGTTTAGGGTTCAGGGTTTAGGGTTTAGGGTTTAGGGTTTAGGGTTTAGGGTTTAGGGTTTAGGGTTCAGGGTTTAGGGTTCAGGGATTAGGGTTTAGGGTTCAGCTCTTCTGGATGCCAGCTTTTGGGGCTTCCCAGTGTAGCCACGAGGCACGTGCGATTCAAGAGACCAAAGGAGGGGCCCTTAAAGGGACCCTTGGGGTTAGGGTTTAGGGTTTAGGGTTTAGGGTTTAGGGTTTAGGGTTATACAGGGGCTTTATGAGACTGTATAAGGGTTATATAGGGTATTTGGATTAGGGGTCCCTTCTAGGGGTCCTTCCTATTCTCCCTTAAGCGATACACACAATCAGTTCCCCCAACTACCGCCCGCGGGCACGTCCTTTGGAAAGTGCTAGCCACTGTAGACTCCAATACATTCCCAAAGATACTTCCCCAAATCACAATACCAGTAGTTCCAAATATAGAAACCCTACATTCTACTATGTAGGTACTTAGGACCCTTTAGGAGTGGCCTCATGTTGGCACTGACACCTTTTTAGTCCCGCCAAAACATAGGAGGAAGCGTTTGGAGCATTTGGATTAGGGTTTTGGAAACATTTCTCATGCAAGCTGCTCCCAGAATGGAGTGTCCCTAGGGTTTAGGTATTTTTTGGGGCGGTCTAGGGTGATTAAATTGACTCCCAACACTACAGTACATTTCCGCTGGAAGGCTGAAGCAAGTCTTGGAATAAGCTACAACAAACCTATAGAGTGACCCTAAACCCTCAACCCTCAACCGTTGCGAACCCAATCCTTGAACCAGTGAACCCTAAACCCTAAATCCTAAAGAACAACCCTCACCAGGGGCCCCGAGATTCCGGAAAATTCATTGAACAAATGTAGGGAAGTTGGTAGCATCATAAATACCAATATTCCTATTAATGACTATGTGCCAGTATATACATGCACACACCCATATATATATATATATATATAGATATAGACATATACACGTACATATACATATATATACACATACATACATACATACATACATACATACATACATACATACATGCATGCATGCATGCATGCATGCATACATACATATACAAAATTTATAACGTTGGTTTAATTCAATATGCTTTGATTGTGGTGCTTTCGAGTCTCCAGGCGCACCCGAACACATGGAGCTACTCTGATTTCCCAAGGCTGGAAACCAGCCAGATTAACAGTTTAGGGTTTAGGGTTTAGGGTTTAGGGTTTAGGGAACAACCTGCTGAAGATTCCTTGTAACCTCAGAGGAATCAAGCAGAACCTGCGAAACTTTAGTCCCACCTGAAGCTCCAGTCCCAGCAAACAAGTTGGTTACAAGCGTTCGGTACCCGGACATTGAACCGAAGCCTTAGAAAGCTTCCAAGTAGACGGGTCAACTACCTCATCAAAAGGGCTGGCGAATGCTGAATTCCTAACTTTACTATTCCTTATTGTTTCGGCACACAGTCTTAGAAAGCCCTATACGACCATACGAAAACCCGGGTTAAACCCTTAAACTCTTGAACCACCAAGCCTTTTACCCTAAGGTGCCAACTCACCACGGTCGATCGCGCCGTCCGACGTCTTGACCGGTTCCCTGCATTCGACAACGGTTCGCGGCTGTTACTGGTTAAGGCTTACATGGTTTGGGTTCAGCCCTTTCGGCCTACAATGATTTGTGTGTATATAAAAAAAGACATATGATTTCATTGGGGTCCTGTAGGATCGTGGTTGTTCCTCCTACGGGTTTCTTGCTGTCTGCGATGGCAACTGGTAACTTTGGAGCAGCTCATGAGCGCATGATGCTGGGAAAGATACCATAGATTACAGCTCCCGGTCATCTTCCGGCACCCACCGGAATGCTGGAGACGCTACCACCACGCCTGAAGGCCTCTTCTGCACGTGCGGGCAGGACATCTCCGGGGAGGCTTCCTCCCCTATCTGCAGAGGGGGCTGTTGTCAAGCCCTGCCTCAGGGTTTAGGGTTTAGGGTTTAGGCTCGCGGAGCGAGAACGACATCAAGAGTCGAGACACGTCGCATGCCGGACTGAGCACAGCAAGCAACATGCTTGAGCCAACTTCCCAACTTAAATCCTAAACCCTATACCCCAAAGCCCAAAACCCTAAACCCTCAACCCAAATTAAGCTTGTTTGCTTCAGGGTCGAAGGCTTCGAGGGGTTATGCTGATACTTCACATCCTGCAGAGCTTCCAGAGCGTGGGGCCTCTTTGCTTTCTTGGCGTCCCACTTCTCACAACTCCCCAAAGGGTAGGGTCCTGTGTGCTGTTTTGGGGGATACTTCCCTAAATCATACAGGTAACTCCTAATATAGAAACCCTACATTCTACTAAATATAGGTACTTAGGATGATGTGGGCTCGGCGAACGGGAAGGATCATGGAGACAAGTTCGGACCCTCTGGACGAAATCCATGGGAAGATTCAGTCGGGAATATGGGAGGGGGGGGGTCATTCTTAATGATTGGAGGAAGGCGTTAGGTTACGTAACATAAAGTATAATGCTGATAACAAAGGGACGATAAAATGTTCTCATGATGCAGACCTCTAAAGTAAAGCCAATGCTCCCACGTAAATCCTCTGGTCCTCAGTCCAGTCAGGACAAGGCAAAATCCTTAAACTTCTGCAGAGGGGATCACTAGCATGCAGGATCTGAAAGCATCCTTAAACCCTCAAACCCTAAACCCTGGACCCTAAACCAAACCCTAAAGCCGTAAAGCCCTAAACCCCTAAACCAGAGCTCTATGAGGGATCTACTAGGGTTCCTTTAAGGGCTCCTTTAAACGGATCTACCAGGGGTTCCTCTAAGGGCTCTAAACCCTAAACCCTAAGCCCTAAACCCCCTACAAGGAGTCGATCGGGCTGCAAGCGCCTCTTGGTTGCTCGTGCCTTTCCCTTGCGCTTGTCCTTGGAGGATGCATCTCCTGGAGAGTCGGTTTAGGGCCTTTTGGGTTTAATAGGGTTTAGGGTTTAAATAATAGCGTTTAGGGTTCAAGGTTACGGGTTTAGGGTTTAATAGGGTTTAGGGTTCAATTCTTCGGTGGTTTAGGGGTTACGGGGGAGAGGTTTCATCGGTTTTCTCAGGGTTCTTTAAGTGTTCTATGGGTGGTTACTAAGTGCCCTATGCTTTCTTCGGCTTTTTGAGTGCAGGGATTACTACATGTTCTATGACGGCTTGATTCGGTTTGATGAGAATTTGATGCGTTGTTTTGCTCATTGCAGGGTTCAGGCTTCAAGATGGGTTAGGGTTTAGGGTTTAGGGTTTAGGGTTTAGGATTTAGGGTTTAGGGTTTAAGGGTTTAGGGATTAGGGTTTAGGGTTCAGAGTTTTAGGTTCTGGGGTGGACAGGTTTGCGGTTATCGCAGTCTGGGTTGCGGAAATTAAGTTGTTGCCTGGATACTTGGGCGACGGTTTAGGTGGCTGCTGGACTATAGATATTGCGGAACACCAAAGCACACAGACTATGATGAACTAGAAATTCATCGGGTCCCTGTACAAATCACAGTATTTTGGGGCTAGGGCATTAGCCTCATATGCCGGTTCGCTCGCTTGAGTACCACTTCGCTCGCTTGAATACCAGATGGTTTCACTTCACATTCCTAGTCCGCTGTAGAACCCTGTTGAACCAGAGACATGAAACCTGTCAACACACTACAACAAGAGACCGCGCAAAGACCTGAACCCTAAACTCCCAACCCACATACCCCAAACTATTCAGAACCCTAAACCCCTAAACCCTAAACGCAATAGGCGATGCCCTGTGTACTGCCTGGAATTACCCAGTACTTCTATCTCTGTACTGAAGTGTGCATGCAGATGCACGGTGACCTTCGAACCTCGTAACATCAAGCCTTTCGGCACAGCCCTTTATCAAGCCCCTGACATCTCTGTGTTCCCAACACGGACCAAAATCTAGCTCAGGGCTTCAGGACTTACAAGTGTACCTCTAATATAAGGCTTTCCAGACATGGAGCCTCATGGACCACCTTAAACCCTAAACTCTAAAATGGAAGCAAGTTTGGTTTACAAAACCGTGATTCTTGGGTTCGCTTACTTGTTCCCTAAACGACTTCAACTGCCTTCATCATCATCGGCAGCCGCTCCGCCAGTGAATGTAGCTCGGGAGCTGTACCTATTTACGGCAGGCTGCGCACGAATATCTCGCATGAATATCTCAAGGATATTGAAGCTTGCATTCTTCGACAGTAATAAGTGTATAGACAAGTACATGTCTGTCGGTGTCTATCTTAACATGCATGCACACGCATGTGTAGATACCTACACTACATGATACCGATCTGTGTGTCTATCTGTCGGTCTACCTGATCTATCTATCTCTCTATCTGTACATACATCTGTATCTGTGTCATCTATACTTACCTATATCTATATCTACGCCTGTAAATCTATCTGAATCTCTATCTCGCTCTATCTACCTATCTATTTATCTACCTATCTGTCTGTCTATCTGTCTGTCTGTCTGTCTGTCCGTCTATCCACCAAGCTATCTATCTATGGTATAGACGAATATGCGGATATCTATGTTCCTAACTCTATGTCGATTGATGCTATACTTGGGTGTTCTGTGCATATCTAAACTTACATGACTGGGTTTTCATTGTTTTCGGCCGCAGAAGCACCCCACATGCGCAAAACACACACACACACACAAACACCGTACATCAGGTTTTGGCAGGTTTAGCTTAGGCTTAGAGCTTAGGTCTCAGTTTGTGGCTTCCGGTGCTTCGACAGTCCATGTGGATCGCTGGGTATTTGCCCGAAGTTCAGGACTGCGGACACGGAGATAAATGTTGTCTTCGGTATTTGTCGCCCTACTGAGCTGTACTGCTGCTTGCTGCTGCTGCTTTTGCAGCAGCTCCTCGTGCCGCTGCATCACAAAAATCTTTGCTTGTACGGGTATGTTTTTGGCTGTTTTATTTGTCAAATCGAACTGTGCGACTGGTCGCAGGTCGTCGAAATCCCTCCCTCCTCCTGCTCCTGCTGCATTGTTGTCGTCCTCGACGCCGACGTCGGAGGGAAGTAGACAAATTCATTGATCCGAGATATGCTCTATTAAAACGTAGTATCGGCACGTGTGGCGGGCACTACCAAGCGAGACGGGGCCCGACGCGGCACAGGCAAATTCTAATTGAGGCTTTAGGTCGCGGTTGTGGCCACCACCGTCACCATCGTCCTCGCAGTAGCAACAGTACTCAGTATGATCATGTTCTAGGAGCAGCAGGAGCAATAGCAAAAAGCAGTAATGGAACAAGAGCAACAGCACCACCAGTGGGCGAACCGCTAAACCCTAAACCTTAAACCCTTTCCCCACTCTGAGCAGCTGCGTCGGAGTCACACGAGCTGGTTCTCGGTGAAGTTGATCTGCAAGTCGGGCACAGGCTTCTGGTTCTCCCGGCAGAACTGCCGATACTCTTCGTACCTGACAGAATGAGAGAAAGAGGGAGACGGAGAAAGCGAGAGAGGCAGAGAGAGAGAGAGAGACAGTGAGATACAAAAAGAATCAGAGAGGGGGGGGGGGGCACATATATGTATATACAATTACCTATCTATGTACATATGTATGTGTATATACTCTCTTCTTCAACAACCAGGCCCAAAAAAGTTCAAACTTTCTAGGATAGACCTAATACATAAGGCCAAAAAGTTTAAAGTTCTCCCATTGGCTATCTAAGTATATACATACAAACTCATTAGAGGACCTTCAGTTTGTTTGAGTGACAGTGTTGCTGGCGCCCGAGGCATTTTGATCTAAAATACTGAACCTCCCCCATACCCTGAATCCCACATCGCTCAACCCGAAACCCCGCAACCCTATATCATCCCTCACCCCATACCTTGACCCCTAAACCCTAAACCCTAAGACCCTAAACGCTAATTGGGCTTTGAAGTAACCAGGGCGAAAAAAGTGTAGACTTTTATTCCATAATGGTTCCTTTAAGGAACAGGTCCCAACAAAATATTAAAGTATGGTACTCCAAAGCCCAGTAAACCCTTAACCCCCCACTAAAAATTTAAAGGGCAGCTTCCGGGCCGCTGGGCTGCGCACACGCGATTCAGAAGCTCTTCCACGCCCTTCACCTCGATGCGGCTTGGGGCTTTGGGGTTTTAGGGTTTAGGGTTTAGGGTTGAGGGTCACCTCGATGCGGCTTGGGGTTTTGGGGTTTTGAGGCCTAGCCCAACCCAAAGGGTCCTAAGTACCTATATAGTAGGATGTAGGGTTTCTATATTCGGAACCACTCTTATGATTTGGGGAAGTATCACCCATAACAGACCTTAGGACCCTTTGGGTAAATATAGGCTTTGGAGGTTAGGGTCGAGGATACATCTTCTGGGCTCGAGGGTTCCAGTTTCATCCCTGGCTCCCTGCTTGGAGGGTCGGGGGACTTAGTAAATGGTTACTGTTATAGACTTATAAGTACTATAACCCCAATGAGGGTCCCTTTTAGGGTACTTATAAACTTTATAGACTTATAAGCTATAAGTACTATAACCCCAATTAGGGTCCCTTTTAGGCTACTTATAAACTTTATAGACTTATAAGTACTAAGTACTATAACCCCAATTAGGGTCTCTTTAAAGGGTACTTACAATCCTCCATGTACACCCCAAACTTCATCTCTTGAGGCAAACGGCGGTTCCTACATCTAAGGTTGAACCCCTGGGCCCTTAGGGGATTCTAGGGTCCCATAAGGGTATATATAGGGTATATAGTAGGTATATTAGGGTCCCAGGGTTAAGGGCCTATACTAGGGGCCCATGGGTTCTACCTTAGACTACAGAGTACCTATAGTCCGGTTTAGGGTTTAGTAAAGGGTCCATTGTAGGTTCCTTTGTGGGTCACCTTGTAGGTATAAAAGCAGACAGACGGTTAAGCCGAAACAGGAACTACAATGGAGGCTTATGGGTATGATACTCCCCAAAATCATAGTAGTAGTTCCTAGTGCCTACAGTTCTACTATATGGGTAGTTGTCAAAATTATGGTCACTTCTGGGGTACCCTAAATAATAGGTGCCGTATTATAATAAGGACCCCCAAAAGGGACCATAATTTTGACAACCACCCATATAGGTACTTAGGACCCTTTGGGTAAGCTCGGGGTTGTCAAGAATTCTAACGATGAAGGCCAGAGTTAACCCCTCATGTTCCGCTTTAAGGCATGACCCTTGAGGATTTAGGGGTTTAGGGTTTAGGGGTTAGGGTTTCGTGGTTTAGGGTATGGGGTTTAGGGTTTAGGGTTTAGGGTTCTGTGAGTTCATCGCCCAAACCTTTTCGAGACTCTTGCCATGACGACGATGACATAGTTCGTTACACGCATTGGATGGTAAAGACATTCCGAAACGCTTGCGTAAAGTGTTTTCTTAGGGGCCCACTTCGCTGAGGAGTCCGCAAAGAGGCAGCTCACTGCTGGGAAGAATGGAAGGGGGTGTTGAGGGTCCCTAAACCCTTGGACCAAAACGCTAAACCCAGCGCACGAAACCCTCATTTCTGAGTGCCCGCGCTGCAGTTTTGTAACCTTCCTGACCTGGTCCAAACGAGAGAAGTTGGGAGGTTCAAGGTGATGGAGATTCGAGCTTTAGATCAGGGTTTAGGATTTAGGCTTTGAGGGTTTGGGTGTTATCGTTCATGGTTCTACGGTTCTTGGCTTTGAGAGATGACTCAGGACTCGTACCGTTACGATGATTTACCGTCATTGCCGAAAACCTTGATGCTCAGCCTACAACTGTCTAGGGGAGGCAAATTCCGCATCCCCGGCCCACTCTTGAGCCCACAAACTTGGTCAAGGTGGCTACCCTAAACCCTAAAGCTTCTAGTCCCGGAAGTCAGGATTTGTCTGAGGCTAGAGGATCGCAATCCGGATATGGGCAGTTTTCTATATCAGGGTCCTTTAGGGTCCTTATTATAACGGTGCCATACTAGATTGGGGACCTAAACAGGGACCCGAATCTAGAGAATTACCCATACGCAAAACCTGCATAAACCAGAAACCATGCATTCTCAAGGCTGGTTTAGGGTTTGCGCTACGAAAACTAAGCCGTTACCACGGCTGCCCGACACAGACCCAGAGATCTGAACCCGCCGCGGCTTCAACCGAAGCCATATACCGTCATATGCCGAAAGCCCAAACCCCCAACCAAAACAAACTGTTGACCCAACATGCCGGCAAACCCTACAATAAGCACATGGACTCTTCGTGCTAGGCGAAAAGCCCTAAACTCTAAACTCTAAAACC